ACACACACACACACACACACACACACACACACACACACACACACACACCATTGGCTCCTTTCCTCTATAGGACACTGGACAGTGCTATCCCTGGGTAGGTGAGTCTGGGTTGTATAGAGAAGCAAACTGACCAAGCCTTGAGGAACAAGTTGGTAAGTAGTGTTCTTCCATGGCCAGCCTCTAGGTCCCTGCCTTGAATTCCTGTCCTGACTTCTCTTCATGATGGACTGTAAGTGGTAAGATGAAATAAACCATTTTATCCTGAAATTGCTTTTAGTCATGGCGTCTTGTCATAGCACTAGAAATCTGGTTACGACAGCTTACAAGTTTGACTGTGAATTAGATTTTAAGCCTGCTGAGCCTCAGGTCCTTGTTTATACAAATAAAAGGAATGCTGGAAATTGTGTAGATACAAGAATTACGATATGGACAGTGGCTGACCAAGAACATGTGGGATTGTACAGGTGTCAGGTTCCAAGTCTCAGAAGAGGAGAGTGAGGCTTAAGGAAAGTAAATCAGGAGTCCTATAACAATGAAAGGGAAGGGGGAAAAAAGCAGAATCCCAATTATAACAATGTGCAGAGCAGTGGTCCTCTAAGACATACGGAGGAGAGAAACTTGGGCTTAAAATACGACGATTCTGTATCTCCAACAGCATTGAGGATGATACAGAGTAAGGGGACCGAGAGGCACTGGGGCCGTGGCACAGAGGTCAAGAACACCTGCTGCTCTTAGAGGACCCGAGTTCAGTTCCCAGCTGCCACAACTACCTGCAACTCTGGGTTCAGGGGATCTGACACCTTTAGCCTCAATGGCACCTATACGGATGTGTGCACGCCCACGCATAGACAGACAAACACACTCACAGTTAAAAATAAAACACTTTTTAAAGACAGAATTGGATATTATGCAGAAAGCAGAAACTTTTATTCCCACACAGTTACTTAAAATTCTGAGACACCTAAGGCATTTGTGATACCGTTAGCAGCTTAAAAACCCACCTTGCTTATTATATCATGCAAAATAGGTCTCCAGTAAGCATTTGCTAGGCTTGACTAGAGCAGGGGTTTAAAGGGAAAACTGAGGAAGGCAACACAATGATTTGGTTCACTAGAAAGAGATGCTAGCCAAAGCAGATTTGTGGATAAAGATATCTGTTTTGGGTCCTTTGCATATGTATTATGGTTTCCAATTTTGTGTTTTTATGGGATTCCTGTATGTGTGAGCATGCGTATCTCTGCAGCTACATGTGTTTCTTGTGCTTTTTCTTTGGCTCTTTTTCTCATTTTGTTATTTTTTTGTTTCATTATCATTTGTTTGCTTTTTATTTGTCTTATTGTATTTTATTATTATTCCTCCGAGGCGCGTTTGTTTTCTAAAGAGAGGCAGAATAGCTGTGTGGATCTGGATGGGAGGAGAGGTAAGGAGGAACTGGGAGGAGTTAAGGGGAGAGGAAATTGTTTTCAGAATTTATTGTATGGAAACCATCTATTTCCAATAAAAGACAGTATATTTTACTTTGAAGTAGGAAAGAGGCTTCCTGGTTGGGAGAAGGAAAGAGAGTAGAGAGGACCCTGAAGTCACTATTGCCTGGTGTTTGGCCATCTCTGAGGCCCTCTTCAGTTTGGTGTTTCTCTTTAAAGCAGTTATGTTGTTCCATTTCTTTCAAGAATGAAGGTGCAACACGGTCTACTGATGTCCAGTTTTCCTGTGAACATATTACTGTTAGTGGAATATAGTTTGTCCTTGACTTTTATCTGTGTATGTGAAGAAGAGAGAAGATCTTTTCCAGGGGCAGTCCAAGTCTTGGTCACAGGCATACAGCTGGTATGAACTTATTGCAGGGTAGGATCCCAAGAACATCGCACACTGCGGTGATCAGTACCAGTTGCACTGACCTCAGGGAGGAGGCACCATTGTGAAGACCTTTTGATGGATGATGCATCAGCATGATTTCATATTCAGAAATTACTACTGTATTGTTGTTACCTATGTTCAGAAATTGGTGCATCAATGTTTTAGAAAAAAAATTATCCTCTTGAGTGAATTGTCAGGTGAAGGGCAATAGTTTGATTTTTGTATATGTGAGTTGAAAAATGTTCAAAATTATGATTTGTGGGTTTTGTTTTGTTTTGAGGGTTTTTCGAGACAGGGTTTCTCTGTGTAGCCTTGGTTCTCCAGGACTCTCTTTGTAGACCAGGCTGACCTCTATCTCACAGCTATCTGCCTGCCTCTACCTCCTCAAGTGCTGAGATTACAGGCATGTGCCACCACACCCAGAATGTTCACTTCTGATATATTTTCAGACCACTTTTTATCTTTTTGGTTCTCTTTACTGAGACTGTAGCTTTTAATTTTCTACTTTTATCTTGTGTGCACGGGTGCACCTCAAAGTCCATATAAGGACTTGACTCTCTTAAAACGTGTCTCTCTTACAGGCAGTTGTGAGCCACTATGTGGGTGCTAGTTTCAAACTCAGTTCCTCTGCAAGAACAACACATGCTCCTAACTGCTGAGCCAACTCTCCAGCCCACTCAATTAGATCTCCCTTATTGAAGGACTTCTAAGCTTTTGGATGGCGATATAAATGAAATAAATTATGTATAAACAGTCTGTACTATCTGACCTAATAAAACATGTAGTTTATGTTCATTATATTTTAATGCTTTATTATTATACTTTTAATTTCATTTTATAGATAGCTTTTCATTTCACAGTACAGAAGGATCTGAGAAATGGCACTTGCCTCTTTAGACATGCCTAGAAATGTCAATGAAAATTACCCATTTGAATGCAGAAAAAGACACAAGAGGCAAAAGGCCAACATTTCACCTTTGTTTTTATTGGGTTATTACTACAATATTTTATATTTTAAATTATATTTATTTATGTGTTTATGTATGTATTATGCGTGTGCACACTTAGCGTGGCATGTTTGTCGGTGCTAGAGGACTAGGTTTTTTTTTTTCTTCCACTGTGTTGGGACATCAGGCTTGGTGGCAAGTGCTTTTGCCTGCTGAGCTATCTCTCTTGACTATGAATGCACCTTTTTGTTGTTGTTTAGTTTTAGTATTTTTTAAAACATGTGTATGGGTATTTTGCCTGACTGTCTGTGCACCACATACATGCCTGGTGTCCATGGAGGCCAGAAAGCATCAGAACTCCAAAACTCCAGTTTTAGGTAGTAGTGAACTTGAACCCAGGTCATCCGGAAGAGTAGTCAGTGCACTTAACCACCAAGCCATCTCTCCAGCCTCTCTACTAACGTGTCTTAATCCTGAAGTTCCTAAAGGACAAAAAGAAGGACAATCATGTAATATTTTTGAATTATCTACCAAGGCCAAGTAAAAATGTATAGAATTAAAAGATGTGTGAGCACTTTGTGTGA